CTCAGAAAACAATTTTTTTTTCTTTTTTTTATTTTGCAAAACCTTCCATAACCACAATTCCAGGAAGCCAGTCAATGGAGGTCTTATACAAGCGCTTCCAGGAAACAACTTTCAGATAGGGGGGGCGAAAAAAAAAATTGCTTCATTCAGCTAGTTCAATATGAAATAATTTCAATTGAAATCACTTGAGTTAAAATTACACTTATTCGGTACTTAATGTCATGTTGATATTTTAACATTCATTGCTTCGATTATTTCGAGCTGCATCTATTCTTGGCAATTTTGATATTCTTTCCATCTGAAAAGCGCTACTTCTATTGTGTGTGTGTGTGTGTGTGTGTGTGTGTGCGCGTGTGTGTGTGAGGTTGAACAGCATCCGTCGAACGCGACTCACTCGCGATAAACAGCAGTTTGGCAAATAGTCAACAGGTGGTCAAAAAGAGGCTTTGAACTTTCAAATCACTAGCTTAATGCAGACGCTAACGAGCGATTATGTTATATTAGTTCTCGTCTGCAATGGACGACTGTAATATTAGTGCCGTACTGATGAGCTGAGAGGAGTTGTAACTTTTTCATTGAGCGGGATATCCATTTGTCTGTCTATACTGCCCCCGGGTGGCCAAAGCGGAAACGAGCAACACAATGGCCGTCCAGCTGACAATGTGACCAAAAAATGGTTTGAATTCATTTTCATTCCACAAACCCAATTCCGATGAAGTTGGGATGTTGCGTTGGGCACAAATAAAAACAGAAAATCTACAAAGACTTTTCTTCTGTCGTGTGCTCAACTCAACATAGATTGAACATGACTTGTAAATCATTGTTCATATAGATCATATTACCGTGTGCATTTATCAAATACGAGATCACGGAATGCTATTTTTTCCTGATTAAAACCCAAATTTTTGATTGCATTTCGTGGAGGGCTCCAATGGATTCAAGGCAATTTCACAACAAATTCAACTGGCATCTTAAGACACTGTCGCTCAGCTTTGAAATGGAGCAACAACAACAAAAAAATCAAGGGCCTCAAATTGACTGGAACCTCCGCTGGCTGTCCAGACGCCGCCTGGGAGAAAGCCCTTAAGGCTCCAGATTACAGATAGACACATTCCAGACCCACCCCAACATGCACGCACGCACACACACACACACACACACACACACACACACTTGAACGTCAGCACACGATATGCACAGAGACACACCAAAGTCCAGAAATCATTAGACAGGATGCACACGAACTCAGCAGGGAGACCAACAACAAACTTGTGTAGGTACACAATGTTGTCTGAAAACACACGCACGCATGCACACAATTCTTTGTCGCATGGGTCCTGCAAGGTGCACTTGCTTCATGAATACTTGCCGTCTCGCTCATCATTTTTTACACAACTGCCCCCCCCCCCCACACACACACACACACGTTTCTGCTGTGTCAGGAAAGTAGCACGCGCACGCCCCGGACAATAGCATCTCTATCTGATGGCATCCTTGTCTACCCCCCACAGAGAAGACCGTGGGGGCTACTTTTATTGGAATGTACAGACGAAAACACACACACACACACACACACACACACACACACACACACACACACACACACACACACACACACACACTGGGGTCATTGGATTGCCCACCTTCCAGCACTTGTCCAAAAATTCTTTGGCACAGTTTTGTGTCAACATTGACAGCAGCAAAGGGAAAGAAAAAGATGAGAGGAATGCGCTTCCCCCTCACCGGTGGTGTCTCCTTTGAATAGACAAATGTGTGCGTGTGTGCATGTACGTGTGTGTGTGTGTGTGTGTGTGTGACCAGGAAATCTTGCCCCACGTGCCAACTTTTCCACATCTGAGCCACCGCTGCCAAGAGGTGGCTAATTGCAAAACGTTTTCTATTTGCCGGGCATGTTGAGCAAGCCAGTGACGTGCCCGCCGGCCCGCCGGCCTACGTGCCGTCACACAGCTGATGATGAGTGTGTGACGCACACGCGCGCGCGTCTGCACACACCCCGCCGCAGCAGCAATTTGTTGTGCTTCTGCTGCTGGAATGTTGGCCAAATGGCTTCTATCCTCCTTCTGCTGTCTTGGGGAGGCAGGAGGCCACCCTTCCCCCAAGCTGCCCCCCTCAGACTAAGTGCATACACTCTCAGGGCCAGGGCACATGCACGCGTGCGCACACACACACACACAAATTTCTGTGTATGTGCGTAACTTTTGGAACTCTCTCACACGGAACCAGAACAGCTCACAAAACCACTCAGACGTTCTGAGCTTGACATAGCCACAGGACGCAAAAAAAAAAGCTCCAGAGTCCAGTTTGATTTTATCTCTCCCACTCACATTTTCCCAGCGTGTGTGTGTGTGTGTGTGTGTGTGTGTGTGTGTGTGTGTGTGTGTGTGTGTGTGTGCGCGTTTCCAGATGAATGAGCTATGCTTTTCCACTGCCTGGCCCGGTGAATGGAGGCGCGGACGAGGCAAAATGTACACACCACAGACACACGTATGCATACACATGCCATAAACACACACGCGGCCACCCACAGGAGAACACGCGCCAATAATGACTGGCAGCAAAAGTCAAACAGGCGCACGGATTTCAAGCAGTGTGACAACAAGCGCAGACAACGAAGTGACGGGATCCCGCTCCCCTGCTTGCCGATGACGAGTCACGCAAAGAATGACGGCACGGATTCACGTCACACGGCAAAGTTCCGGGGCTTTCCTTGACTTTGGTTCAAAAGTGGAAAAAAAAAAAAAGCCTTGTCCGTAAACAAACACAATGGAGCTCGGCTTCTGTCTCGACAAGCTTTTTTTCCTTCTGATGAAGCAAAACCAACAAATGTCATCATTAGTATTTTTTGAAATAGCGTCATGATTGATAAAAAGTGTGCCGGTTGCACTTTCTGCCTCCTTTTGTTTCCGAAAATGAAGGCGGATTACGGTACTAAAAGTCACAGCAGACAACATCAACCAGCCATGATTCTGACTTTCTGTCCTCATCATAAACGTACTACATCACAAAGCTATCGCCTTTCAAGTTCCCGAGTCACACCTTTGTCATTCGGACTCGGCTTTCCGCTTGATCTTTACACTGTCGTTCCGATTCTCCATCATTTGGTCCACTTGAAATAACATTGACATGTCATAATCAAGTCAGAGAAGTAAGATTTCCATCCGGACTATTGTGGACCTATCCATTAACTTTGGGAGAATAATTTGATGCCAGGAACACGTTCGGACCATCAAGCTAACGATCGCGAGCTGTTGGTTTACCAGAACAACAAAACGCAAAAAGTAAGCAGCTTCAATGTTAATTCAGAAATAAAGCAAATTATTTCAGGTTTTTTTCTATTAATGTGCCAGTTATCAAATTGGGTTTTGTACATATTTGCCAGTAAAATATTTAAGAAGCGTGGCAATTTATAGATGACCATACAACTAATCAACTGTAAATATTCTCATATTCATTTGTGTTTTTTTTCCCCAAAATAAAAACTTTTGCTGATTTTTGACGGACCAAACCAGTAAGTGAATCCAAATCAATTTAAGGTTGCGCATCTTCTGCATTGTCACTTTTTGAAATTCTGTCCTGTTTTTGAACAAAGGGATGAAAATGTAACAAAAGAAATATATTATCTGATCAATCCATAAATCAAAGAAAATCACCTTTGACAGATTAATAATTCAAATGTTACTTAAAGCGCTCGAAAAAAATGAATAGTATTACTTTTAACTTATGCACAGGAGATGAACCCGCACTTCCTGGTGGCTTCTTTTTTTTTTTTTTTTTTTTTTTAATCCAAGTATCTGTGCATCCACTTCCAAGTATATTTTTGCCCGCTTCGCTAAACAATCCCAACAACATTCGAATACACGCGTACGTACTCCGTGCAGAAGTGAGCTGGGATGGAAGAAAGCGAGCCACGTTGGGCAACAATGCAAAAGGGCAGCAGGCAGGCAGGGAGTTAGGACTCACTTTGGTGATGACGAGCGGCTCTCCGTGCTCGGTGCCCCCCTTGAGCGTGAAGCCCCACGGCGCGCCGCCACTCAGCTGCACCTGAACGCGGTGGAAGGAGACGAGCTGCTCCACCGTCTCCATGCTGCCGCAGCTTCCCCATCGGCGCCGAAGCCACAATGGATGCACGCGCCGCGGACCAACAGACTCAAGCAGGGCGGCTCGAAAGAATGGGAGGGACTTTGGCGAAAGTTTGGAAAGCGAGTATGAAGCCACGCCCACCGGCCCGACCATTTAGGGCGTGATTGACGACACGCTCCGCCAATGGGAAGGCAAAAGTTGTCCGTGTAGCGGCAGCCCAACCAGTAAACTCTTTCTTCACACTAACAAGACAATTCGATGCATTACTTGTGAATCAATAAATTGTAACGATTAGAAGTTTTGTCATGTCAATAGTAGTACTGGTAAAAGGCAGTTGTCGACGAGTGCGCAGGTTTGCCTCATTTGGAATGTTATGGAGTTGGTCTTTCTGCGAGTTTGCACAAGTGTCAAAAATATCATCTTTAAGCACTAAAAAAAACTAATAGTTGAGAAAAAGCACTCCAAACTCAAATTTAACACCCACCCAAGAGTTCTTGCAATTTATTGTTCTTGCTGTATGTACACTTTTTTTTCAACTAATAAATTAATAAACTAGACGTAGTTAGGTTCATTACCTGCATGGTGTGCTAGCTTATTTTGTTAGTCGACCTAGAACAAAATATTGAGTCACCCTAGTGAGAGCTTTATAACTTGAAATGCTGTGTGAAGCTCTTAATGTGTACATTTGTGAATAATCGCTCAAGGGGGGGGGGGGCTGCAATCATGTATGACTAATAATAATTAATATCCATCGAAAAAAGTTGCCCTGGCCCGATGAAGCAATGGGAGGTTCTGCATTTGCGCCTTGGAAGCGACATGAAGTTACTTCCTTCCTCCACCTGAGGCCGCCACGGCGCTGCAACTTTTACGCACCTTTTACGCGCGGGTCACGTGGCTTCACCGCGCTCGGTGGGCGTGTCCGTCGTGCAGAAGGGGTTAATTAGAGTCACCCAGTATGACGGCAAAAGGAAAGTTGAGTCCACGGTGGTCGGCGAGCCGGCGTGCCTGCAGTGAGTCGCGCCCGCGGCCGCACCGACGATGGTCGCAGTTTGTCGCCTCTTTGGTGGAGCTCATTAGCGCCCGGAGCTTCTCGTGCCCAACATGCGCGGCCAGCGCCGCTTCCCGCGCGTCCTGCTCTTGTCCTTAGCTCTGGCCCTCCTCACACTCCCGCCATGTAGGGTTGCGGCCGGCTCCAAAATGTCCCCCGGTGGCGGCCGCCGCCGGGACGCCGAGGCCCGTGGCGCTCACCACCGGCCGCTGACCGAGGAACAGAAGGCCGACCAAAACCTGCAGTTTATGTTGAGTTTGTACCGCAGCGCGGCGGGACCGGGCGGTAGACCCAAACAACGCCGGAAGTTCGGCTCCAACACAGTGCGCCTGCTCAGACCCTCCGCGTCGTCGGTGCACTACCTGCCGGCGTCCAGAGGTGATGAACACAGTGAGTGAGCTTTTTATTCGTTTTGAGAAGAGTTGCCCTTGGTTGGCATGTTCACAAATCTACATGCTTTCATGAGGCTAAAAGAATGAAAAAGTCAACGGCTTTAATCAGGATGTTGACTTTAACCACTGCATGTCAGATCAGATTGTTATGGATGCTAATAGACATTCTCCTTTTTTTTTCCCCCTCCTTGTCTTGAAGACCACCACTACACCTTCAGCGTCCAGTACCACGTGGACGTGCTTCCTTCGGAGCGGCTCATCCGAGCATCCTTTGTGCACCTTAGATCTTCGTCTTCCGCCGCCCTCCCGTCGCCCCGCTGCCACGCCCAGGTCCCGTGGCCGGGCGAGGCGAGCCTGCTAACCACCATGGAGCCCCCCCATCGCTGGACACAGTGAGTGAGCTTTTTATTCGTTTTGAGAAGAGTTGCCCTTGGTTGGCATGTTCACAAATCTACATGCTTTCATGAGGCTAAAAGAATGAAAAAGTCAAAACGGCTTTAATCAGGATGTTGACTTTAACCACTGCATGTCAGATTAGATTGTTATGGATGCTAATAGACATTCTCCTTTTTTTTTCCCCCTCCTTGTCTTGAAGACCACCACTACACCTTCAGCGTCCAGTACCACGTGGACGTGCTTCCTTCGGAGCGGCTCATCCGAGCATCCTTTGTGCACCTTAGATCTTCGTCTTCCGCCGCCCTCCCGTCGCCCCGCTGCCACGCCCAGGTCACGTGGCCGGGCGAGGAGAGCCTGCTCACCACCATGGAGCCCCACCATCGCTGGACGGAGGCGGACGTTGGCGCTCGCGTCCTCCGGGGCGAGGAGGACGGGGGACGCTTGACACTCACCGCCCAGTATTGGTGCACGGAGCAGGAGCGGGCTGAAGAGAGCGGAGACCTCCCTCGCCGGTGGCAAGGGGAGCCCCATCTGGAAGCCCCTTCGCTTCTTTTGTACCTGGAAGAGGAGCGGGACGGTCAGGACTGGATGATGGGGCACCTGCCAACAGGCAAAGGGGAAGACCTCATGAGGCGGCTGAGCCGCTGGCACCCCTTCCTTCGTCGCCGCCGCAGCTCGGCAAGCTCCCCGCCGGATCCTTCGGCCACTCCTCCCCTCGCCTCCGTCATCGCCAACATTCATGCCGCAGCAAAAAACAAAACAGGAACGCCCAAGAACCGCTGCAAGCTGCACTCTTTCCGCCTGTCCTTTGAGGAGTTGGACTGGCATCACTACATTGCGCCGCCCGTCTACAATCCTCGCTTCTGCCAGGGCGACTGCCCGCGTGTGTTGACCTATGGCTACCACTCGCCCAATCACGCCATCATCCAGACCATCATCAACGAGTTGGGGGTGGGTGACGTCCCGCCCCCCTCCTGCGTACCCTACAAGTACATGCCAATGAGCGTGCTGGAGGTACACAAGAAGAAGGTGGAGTACAAGGAACTGGAGGACATGGTGGCCGAGTCGTGCACGTGCCGCTAAGGGCAGCTGCTGAGCACCATCTGCGAAAACGCGCTCCGACACAGGCGCCGGCCGGGGCGGTGCTTGGACTCTGCGCTAATGCCGAGATGAGAACGTTCACGAGTCGCCGTCACTTTGTGTTAAGCACTGAAAATAAATATGACTAACTTGCCCCAAAGCACTGACAACTCAAACATTGAAAGCATGTCATCTTGTCTGCCGTGTCAATCCAAATGCCGAAACGCTGTTTTTTTTCTTTTTGTCATTTTGGCTTAATTTATTCAACACGCTTCTCGGTGATGCTGACCAAGACGATTTTAACATGCCTGATGTGAAGCTCAAATAATCGATTTTGTACCTATTTATAACAGGAGGGGGTCCCAGAGAACTGCACAAAGAAAGAAAATGTTCACCAATGCACTTTTTTTTTATTCCAAGTAAAAATGAATAATTAAATAAACTGCAAGTTTTCTAAAGCGTAATCTCTTTGTCATCACTAAAATTGGCAGGAGGCCTCCACCAAGGCCGTCAGTGCTAATTGGAACAAAACCGGCACCTGTCTAAACAAAGTGTCCAAAATCAAATCCTTTTCTCAGCCTAAACTTCATTCCAAGCATTCCAAGGACAGGCGACTCACCCTGTTGTTGTGCTCAAACAACGCCAGTCCAGCAGAGGGCGCTCGTTGACCACAATGGGAAACCTGGAGGAAAGGAGGTGCACATTAATACCCACCACAAATGTGACCTAAAATATCTTGCAACCTGAAGTGACCTTGTCTCCGTTTACTCAATTCGAAAAGTAGGCCTGTTTACTGAAACTCAAAGCTGTTATTTTCATTTCAATGGTGACAGGTCAATATGCACATTAAGTGCACCTTCTGCCATCTAGCGGGAGAGCATTTAATTGCGCTGCCAATCGCTATACATCGCCGGCAGCGATCTCTGCACACGTATGCGGTTCACAATCGCTAATTGAGAGTGTCGTCACTGAAAGGTACAGAAGTGGACATCCTTGGAAATGTTCTCGGCCGTTCAGCTAGTTGTACATTTGTCTTGACAGGTGCAAAGGCATCATTTCGCTGATCAGTGGGTCACCGAGGTGTTGCCACACACGTCTCAACATGCAAATCTATGTTGGCCCATTTGCGCGCGCAGCAAAGTCCACGATGGCATAACCTCCCAAAGCTTCCTGGTAGGAGAGTTCCGTGAACCTGCCAACTAGTCCGATGAGGTCATGTCTGCATCTGTTTGATAGGACAGCAAAATTAAGTGGCGTCACGCAGCGCCCGTCTGTGCGCCCGCACCTCATGAGCACACACACACGCACACAATCCCTGTTTGTCGTGAGGGTGCACTTTTTTTCCCCTCAAAGTTTGACCTCCCCCATATACATTCAAAACATTTTAAAGTGTTCTTTAGTGCCCGCTCACATTCGTTAGCTCACACGCTAACGCTGAATTCTTTCACCTGAAGTTGATTGTAAACCTGACACACACAAAAGGAGAATTTAAACATATTTGTATTGAAACACCAAAATCCATCCATTTTCCAATCCGCTTTTCGTCACAAGGGTCGAGGGGTGTGCTGGAGCCTGTCCCAGCTGTCTTCAGTCAGTAGGCGGGGGACACCCTGAACCGGTTGCCAGCCAATCGCAGGGCACACACAGACGAACAACCATCCACGCTCACACTCACACCTCGGGACAATTTGGAGTGTTCAATCAACCTGCCATGCATGTTTTTGGAATGTGGGAGGAAACCGGAGTACCCGGAGAAAACCCACGCAGGCCCGGGGAGAACATGCATACTCCACACAGGAAGGCTGTAGCCGGGATCGAACCCACGACCTCTGCACTGTGAGGTCAACACGCTAACCACTGGCCCACCGGGCCGCCCAAACACCAAAATGTTTACCCAAAAGCATATTTCATCTGCTCATTTTATGCGAACGTATAATGTGAAATGCCATAGACGGGCCAACCGAAATGAGCACAGATGTTAGGGTGATTCTAAAAGTGCAGCTGGAGCCAATTGGAATGGACCGTCACCAAAAACGGATTGACTTGGTCTGCCGACATGCTGCAATGGAAAACTGCAACGCCGTGGAAGATTTTGAGCCTTCGTGTACAGCGTATTGTCCTGTATCACTCATTCAACCATAAAACCATAGCGTGATGATCAAGGACGACAAAGACGGCTTACGGTGTCTGAATCCTGGCGCCGGAGACCAGATTTGAACTCCGACCGTCTGGACTGTGAGGAAGGTTTGCCAGAAGCAGACGGGCATCTACTGGCCGTTTCTTTATGTCCACATTAGCGGAACTCAAAGTCCTTGGTGCCACCCCAAAATGTTTTACCAAGTATTTGTGCTCAAGGCCAGCCTGAGTCAACACTGACTTCTTGCCAAATGACAACACCACCATCAGCTGGAGACCGAGTGCCGCAACTCTTGTCCAGCGTGTGCACGCGTATGCTTACATAAACATGCCCGGTGACATATATGTTGGAGGTGCAATTTTATTTCACCAAGTGGGTGCACAAAATAAATCCAGATACATTGTTAAAGTGGACTTTCGTGCCCCCACTTGACAAGTGGGGCACGAAAGTGAGTAAATTCAACAACCGTTTTTTTTCAGTGTACTTTGACTTGTATATTTTACAAGTATCCTTACTTCTACCTAAATTCTGAGTACTTTTGCCACCTGGAACACACACGCACGCACGCACGCACGCACGCACGCGCACACACACACACACACACACAATTTAAAAGTGTCCTCACGTGTCCATGTCTTATCTTTGTGCATACATGAAATGAGGCTAAAGTGTGTGTGTGTGTGTGTGTGTGTGTGTGTGTGTGTGTGTGTGTGTGTGTGTGTGTGTGTGTGTGTGTGCGTGGTTTTTTTTCAACACAAAGTCCCATTTAGGCCACAGAGGTGATTACCCGTACAACCCCCCACCCCTTCACCGCCCCCCCAAAAAGGGTAGTGAGCGGCTGATGACCCAGCACAAATGTGACACACACACATGCACACCACGAGCAGGCCAGCGTGTCTTTATAAGGCGGTGCAATCAGTCCAAAGTGGTAGCGCCACTCGCTCCCCAGCGTCAGCGGCAGACCGTCAGAACAACAAAGGTTTTGGCAGGCTCGCATCAGCTGTTTTGTTTTTTTGTATTTTATTTTATTTTTTTGCAAGTACTTTTGAATTGACATGCAGGCGGAAGGCAAAATCCCCCTTAGGAGACACTCTCTTTACCTCCTGATGCTGCTGCTGCTGATGATTCTGTCCCAGCAGGTGAGTCCTGCTTGAATGGGCCTGAATGCAAAGAATCATCCGGGTTGATCAATTGTGCCTGTGTGTGCTTGCCTGTGGCAGGTGTGCTCGGGTCCGTTGGCCTCGCCGGTGCAGAGTCCATATTCGGCGCACAAGCGCATAGCCCGTATGAGCCCACTGTGGAGGATCATGAACAGCAAACCTTTTGGTGCTTTTTGCCAGAACAACTACGAATGCTCCACTGGACTCTGCAGGTACTGTTGCGGGCCGTCACAATTTAATCCAGCAGCCCCAAACCTGATAGGGAAAAGAGAAGTTAATTGCGGGCAACAAACAACTAAATCACGGTCAAGAAATATGTATAACATGCCCCCCAAAGAATTATTTGTGATCTTGAGTTAAGCGTGCGCGTGCATGAAATGTTAATTTTTTGGTGCCATGAATCATATGGTTCATTTGCATTTTGTGCATATATTGCACAGTGGATATAAAAGTCTACACACCCCTGTTCAAATGACAATGTTCTACGCAGTATATAGAAAATGAGGCAAAGATAAATAATTTCCAAACTTTTTCCGCCATGAACCCTTTCATACACCCTGTAACTTGATAACATGGTAAGATGTCCACAGTAATAACCGCTGTCCCTGAAAGGGTTAATGTGGCTCGTAACTTGTAGAACTTAGTAGTATTCAGAGTGAACCAATCACATTCAAACTCCTCATCTTTTAAACGTTTGTCAAATGGGTGTCAGCCCCCGTTTCAAGTGCCACCAACCAGCCCCAAATAAAGTTCAGCTGTTCATGTGGTCCGGCACATGGTCGAGCCTTTCCTGACCCTTATGACACAACGGTGACATAAGCAAGAGCTCAACGTCCATCCCAAATGGATGAAAAGACAAGAAGAGAACCGATCGGGGAGGTTGCCAAGAGGCCACTAAGGAGCTGCAGGAATTTCGGCCAAGGGTTTAGAACACGTGACAACGTTCTCCCACACTGTATGTCTGGGCTATGGCAAGATGGTAAGCCTCATCTCACAATAGCCCAAAAATGTCAGGAAAAGCCTACTAGAACACCTGAACTTGATTTGGGCTTCATTAGAAGCACCTTAAATGCTGGCAGGTGTGCGCTGAGAAGTTATGTTGAAAAGATCTTATTTTTTTTCTAATGGAGTCGAACGGGTCACATGAATGGTGGAAAAAGTTTTGAAATGATTTATCTTGGTCTGTCATTTTTTTTTTCACATCACAAACACCCTGGCATTTGATTCAAATTCCAAATACTTTGTTGATTCGGTACAGACAATTATTTGGAGCTTTCATGTTTTTGTGTGCATACATCAAAATGAGCAATTCATGTGCAGGTTATTTCAATGTTTTGGCCACAATTTGAATGCCATGTCTTGGGTTCAGTACCAACCAATACATTCCAAATCACATATGAGGAAACAAAAGATCTCCCCGAAGGCCTTAAAATCTTCTTGACAACACACACATGAATCCTAGCAAGAGTTAAGGATTTTCATGAAATTCTTGGCGAAGACGATAACACTCATGCTCTGAGCGATACGTTGATTGATTAAGTCGTTGTTGTTTTTCCAGGGCGGGACACTGCTCCACCCACCAGCGGCCAACCTCGGAGCCCCTCAAAGACTAGACGCCCCCGAGGCCGACCGAAGGACCAATGTTCTACTCAAAATGAGACCGAAGTAATGTGTTCACAATTCATGCTTAATCCACTTGTGATTCCTCCATATTTTATTTATTATACCACGTTCACTCATTGCACGTCAAGCTACACGATTTTTGCAATGATTTTTTTCGCATGATTAATATTCTCCGAAAAATTTGCACGTGGATGTGGTTCACTTTTGATGAGAAAATGCACTTTTAAAAAGCCAAAATATCTTTGTACTGTCTGCTGTCTGCTCAGTTGCAGCTTCAATAAAACACAAACTCGCTGAGGTGATGTGGGAAAGTGAGTGTTGCTTTTGTCTCAATTTGCTACCGTGTTTCCTCCTTTGAACTTAAAAATGATACTATCGTAGATTTATGGCTATTATAAATAGCTTTGATTTAAGGAACGTTTTTTTCTTATGGATGTGAACAGAAAAAAAATGGATTGCAAATCTATCAGGAATGAATCACGATTAATAAAACTGATTAACACATGCTTTACAAATGTGCATGGGTGCAGACATTCACGAACCAGAAAAACAAAAGGACACACCTGGTAAGGGGTGTGATGCTTTGGATGTGCAATATTTGTCATTAGAAATATAGTGCTTCAGGTTGTATACATATACAGTACAGGACAGTGAACACACATGTACTGAAATAATCCAATAGGATGACATATTTTAAATCCAAATTAAGTACCAAAAAAATTAAATCGTGCACGTGCTTGGAGCCGATCCCCAAAATGTTCATAATTCAAACGTTATTTTGCTATATCCTGTTTCGCCACTAGATGTCGTTTAAACGATTGACTTCAGTAGGACAAATGAGCAAATATCTATCTATCCATCTTTATCTATCTATATCGCTATAGACATAGATAGATAGATAGATAGATAGATAGATAGATAGATAGATAGATAGACATACACATATACATACATACATCAATGAAATGTCCTGTAGAGAATATGACATATTCTCAACAGAACAACAAAAAATTAATAAAAAAAAAAAAAAAAAAAAATCAAACGTATCTTGGACATACTGTAATGTTAAAAGAGGACTCAGAGCTTCTTGCAGGGTGTTCTGAGCAGCACGCATGCGCAGTAAATTTAGCGCAAAAGCGACTTTTGGGTTTGTTCTTCATATAAATTCTTTCGACTGTAAGCGTCGCGAAAACTCACCGAGACGCTGCTACTTGTAATCATATTTTGTGTAACCACGTGAAAGGTTATTGTGGGCCGTCAACCACGCCAAAAAGTACCTGTAAGTTATAGCAAGACAACCTCCGCTTGCATCCGTATTCTCCACCAATCACCGAGCAAGATTCTTTCAGGGACCATCGGAATTCAAAAGCACAAGGAATAAGCACGTGATTAGCCGGTTAACATTGAAGGGGATATTTTGGAAAATTGGCTTTCTAGTACAGTATTTCGTTTGCAGCAATTTTGTGTCTAGAGTGCCTGCCAGTGCTCGCCCATCAAGTGTGAGTTTAAACGACCAGATACATCTCACGTTATCTGACTGCTTCTGAAAATGTGTCGAAAAGCACTTCCGCCCAACTCTTTCGCAACAAATTAACATAAACAAACCTTCACCCTGGATTACAACCAACGACGTGAACATTTAGACTTTACACCCTGTAAGCAGAGCTGCATTCATTTAAAAAAAAAACGTAATTGTTGATCCATGGGATATTTTAACAAAAGCAAGCCACAGACATCAAGACACAAGGGACAGCTTTAATTTAGGAAAATGCATCATATGTCCTCAACCAACCACATAACCCACTTCATTACAATAAATTCATGTGTGATATTGCACAAAAAATGAAAACACTTTTTAGTGTGTGTGTGTGTGTGTGTGTTCTCAACTCCGAGTCCGATACACATATACTTTATATACATATATATTCAAAATAAGAAGCAATCTTTATCTTTGCAAGTTCTGCTTATTTTCTTCTTTTCATGGCACACATACAACTCGTTAGTATTGACACACACCTCTGCGATGATTTACCTCGCAAGTTTTATTTAATCTTTGACAAAAAAAAAAAAAAACATTGGTGGGTCATTGTAAACATTTATGACACTTTGTACAAGGTTCATTTGGAAATTTTAAAAATACTATTTTCTACTTTGGAAACATCAACAGTCTATTCTGAATGTGTTCAATTCATGCATCGACACACTCGTGACAGAAATGTGCGCGCGCACGAACGCACACGGAGTCAATTTTTTTTTCTTCAATGTTCTGATTTCTGATGGTGTCACTGACAAAACACAATAATAAAAACAAATATAAAATAATATGAATCCTCTTATGCTTGGAACAGAAGCACTTGGTGAATAATACTGAACCGGACAAATGTTAAGGGCGGGGGGGGGGGGGGTAATCAATAAAATTAAACACGGAAAATCAAATTGTGCCCCCCAAGCTCGGGATACTTTCAGATGATCATTTGCATCTTCCTCGGGCTAAATATTCAAGCAAATCTGCTCAAATAAAACAGTTGGAACTGACGGTGGTAAACGTTAAACAGATCCAGCATTCGAACTAACATTGGGTAATGCTAATATTTGTTCATTGACAAATAGAAAACAACATTTGAGCCTGCAGGTGGCGACACAGGCCCATGCCAACGGGGTGCATGGTGGGTTTGACTTGTGGACTTCACTTTGGGATGCGAACCCCTAAAAAAAAATGCTTGTATAATAAATAAAGGCATGTAAGATAGAGTTGGGCAGAGTGACATGAGAGACAAAAGAAGCTTCAACTACATTCCCATCTAGTATTTGTGGGATTTTTCACTTGTTGAGGACAAACAAAAGTCCAGTTTCTTGGAGCAAACAAATCTGTGATTGGCTCAACTTGGCTTTCGCCTCCTGCTTAGTCACTGCGGTGTAAACAACGAGGAGCTTCAAAATATTGTGCTTTGCAAAAATCATGAAAATGATCCAAATCGAACGCAGGGGCAATCATGTGGCATATTAAGTAAGGGAGAAGAAGCACAGCTGGCTCGCGCTCTGGCCGCACGCCGCCGAGTCCATAAACAAAAACGGTGCAAGTCTGAGAAATCACGGCTGATTTCAAAATGCAAACGTAACTTGCAGCAGCATTTCACCGTTTTCGTCTTCATTATTATTTTTTCCCCCTAGTCCTTGTTTCCTTTACGATTGCACACAAAAATACAACAAAAAGCTTGGACAAAGGAGGTGATTCAAAACTAGGTTGGGGTGATGTTGAGTATTGCGTGAACGGCTGTGTGTTATCATGTGACATTGATTGTTTTTTTTTTTTTTTTTTTGGCGGGGCGCCCCTATGCTTCAAAACGGTGCAAGTCTGAGAAATCACGGCTGATTTCAAAATGCAAACGTAACTTGCAGCAGCATTTCACCGTTTTCGTCTTCATTATTATTTTTTCCCCCTAGTCCTTGTTTCCTTTACGATTGCACACAAAAATACAACAAAAAGCTTGGACAAAGGAGGTGATTCAAAACTAGGTTGGGGTGATGTTGAGTATTGCGTGAACGGCTGTGTGTTATCATGTGACATTGATTGTTTTTTTTTTTTTTTTCTGGCGTGGCAGCCATATGCTTCCTCACTACTCCCTACTGAAGTGGAGGCACGACCTACGTCCACAATATAAAAATCCCAATGTAGTGATTAAGGAGTTGGGGAATGAACGATTCCCAATGCACCCTCCGCTTTCCACGTCCTCATGAACTTCTTTTTCTTCCTTTTCTTGAGTTAGCTGCGCGCAACTTCTACTTCCTCCATCTTGGCACTGCGCCACAGCAAAATGGCGTGGCTGGATTATTTGGACCCCGTCACGCGTGCGTCTACAAGGCGGGCAGGTGGCAGTAGGCCTCCAGGGAGGCCAGCAGGATGTAGACCAACCAGAGCGACACGAAGAAAAGCGACGTCAACACCTTGCAAGTCCTCGGGCCGCCCAGCTCGCCGCCGGCCGCGCCGGGCCGCCGCCGGTAGAGCAGCGTGGTGACGCACAGCGACGCCAGGATGGTGAAGAGGGTGACGGAGAAGGCCAAGTTGCCCGGGTCCACCTTGAACGTTTGGCCGCGAGCCCGCCAGGCCACGGCGGCGATGGTCCAAGCTACGCCGATGCCCAGAAAGACGTTGACGGCGTTGGAGCCTGTCACGTTGCCGATGGACGCGTCGGCGTACTGGTCCTGGATGGCCGCCACCTTGCTGGCGAACGTGTCTGCGGGGCACAATCAATCGTCATATGAGCTGCTAAATTTGGAGTGCGCCCGTCCCACCGCCGGCGCCTCACCTGGCACAGACGTCCCCAGCGCCACGAAGACCACGGCCGTCACCGAGTCCTTCAGCCCCACGGTGCAGCCGAAGTGCGACGCCAGGTCACCGGTGACGGCCGTCAACACGCCGATCAGCGAGATGGACACGATGAAGCAGGCCCAGCCGTTCCAGTACTCGGTGGGTGGCACGAAAGCGAACAGAACCTTCCAGAAGACGGTCAGGAAGTGCATGATGTAGTCGAAGCACGACGGCAGGCGCTCCTCGCCGCTTTCGTCGTCGTCGTCGTCTCCTGCATCAACCAAAAATGAGAAAGCCGACTCAAACATGCTCACAAATGTGCTAATTTGCATATTGGGGGCAGGGGGTAATTACTTTGCCATTGACATTTTACAGAATTCGCTCATTATTGTGTGTCAATGTCGAAAAACTTTGCGTACCCTTGTTTTAAAATGACACTGCGCATATTCGTTTGTGCTAGGGCGGGGGTCGGCAACCCAAAATGTTGAAAGAGCCATATAGGACAAACAAAAAACAAAAAACAAATATGTCTGGAGCCGCAAAAAAATAAAAGCCTTCTATAAAACTTACAATGAAGGAAACACATGCTCTATGTATGTAGGAGACTGGACTGTCTCCGAATTGTTTATGTTGTTCATTCCTTTGTTGTGTGTTCACAAACGCCCCCGTAGAACTTATTTTGTAATTTCCTCGCTTGATTTTTTTTGTTTTTTATTATTTTCGCTTTTCTTAGTGTCAGTGAAGTGATCATTAATTTCCGTTTTTCAGAGGCTGTCTTTGAACGCCTCTCGAGTCGAATATGAAGAGAGAAGGCACGGAGTCGGACACAGACGTGTCTGTGTTTGTCGAAAATAAAGTGTACGTTTTAAAAAAAACCAACACCACAGCTCTCCTTTTTCGGAGCTGCAACATGTATCTATATCGATTTCAGCTATATTAGCCTACTATCAAAATCTTTTTCCACTTTCAAACATTTTATAAAGCTCCAGGGTGCCACTAGATGTCGCTCTGGAGCCGCGTGTTGCCGACCCCGTGCTAAGGTGTCATTTTGGCCTTATGTAAAGTTGGTTTGTTTGCATTGAGTAATTGAACTGAGCCAGTGGCGCCGTTCATGTCACATGGCTTCAGGACTGTGTACAAGCAAGATGCAAGGTGTTGCTTCTCTGAAGCTCTGAAGTGCTTTGCTGCCATCTTGTGACATGTGGACATTATCACAAACCTCTTTTAGGGATGCTGTCAATTATTTGTGGATTTTCCCAGCTATTTGTAGCAGGTTGGATGTATGTAATATCATATTTGTGTGTGTGTGTGTGTGTGTGTGTGTGTGTGTGTGTGTGTGTGTGTGTGTGTGTGTGTGTGTGTGCGTGCGCGCATACATATGCGTGCGTC